ATGACAACTACCAAAAGGTGTCATATGCGCGATTTCCTATAGAAGGATTTGAAAAACATTTCAAAACTAGTTTGAAAACCTTTGAAAACAATTTTTCTGATATCAGTTGTTACGCAAATTCCTTTCCCTTGGAAAGAACTGCTCTGATACCATTCGGTGTGACACCCGAAACCCGTGTCCCACGAAAACCACGAGTTGCGCCACATGGACAACAATAAAATAAATACAATTATCGAAAATACGCGGGATTTAAAAATTCTCCAAGGATCTGGTCTCCCCAGTCCAGGACATATGTACACAAGTCATAGCTCGACCCATCGGGTCTCTCAGTAATAACCGTACCGTCAAATCATCTCCACGTGTGTATCACACACGTGGGTAAGGACGCTCCATGTGCAACGCACATCCCCCGCTCTCCTCGGCAATCACCGGAACAATAAAACACGCCATCCAAATCCCTACTCCATAAAACATAATACATCAACCATCCCTTCTGACATCGATGTCACCTCTCGATGCCAGAGCGCCAGGTGCCTCCTCCAGGCCACCACCGACTATGTCGAGCGAAGTCAGTACACAACTGACAACCTCTCGCCGGCCGTCCGCCACGGAGAAACTCATTGGACCCGAGCTCAGGTCTTTCTGAGTTCCTTCGCATAACCTCGTCGGGAGAATCGCTCAATCCCGAGTCACGGGTAAATGTATTGCCAGTCTCTGCCGGGAGAATCACTCAATCCCGATCCCGTTCCATAGCTAGTGGAACGTTGACGCAGTTACATTGTAACCGTAGGATTTCCTCAACCCCGTGATAGCCGAATCACTCAAGACTATCACGTGTATCATCGGCTCCAAGCTCTGCCCGTGGGCAACCAATCACAATCATGTCTCCTCAATATGAAACCCGACCCGGGTCAGAGATCATAAAGAGGAGATCCCAACAATGCAACCATCGGGATATCACCTCAAACCCGCTACAATCACACGCTCAACCATATCCCGGCCCTCCGGAATAAGGTCTCACGCCATGCCAACTACCCGATTCCCCAATCACATGCATTCATATATTATTATACTTCAATCGGATATACACACGTCTTTACTTGACATTTTGGTGATCTCGTTCCTTTACATTCATTTTATTCTTTTATCCCCCGATCCGACCAAATTGGGTTCCGACCATTTCGGATTACCAATTCAGCTCGTTCCGAAGGTTTTACTTACCGTAAGTCGGTTTCATTCAAGTTTCATGAGGTTCGGGTAGGAAACGGGTCTAGGTAGGTCACGTATAGGGGTCGGTTGCGTCGGATCTCGCCCGAGCCGACGAAACGGACCGGAAGAAGGAAACAGGGGTCTGGACCGGACGGTCTGCCCGACTGGAACGGACGGTCTGAGGGTTTCAGACCGGACGGTCTGGAAAGTTGGACCGGACGGTCTGAGGGTTTCAGACCGGACGGTCTGGAAAATTGGACCGGACGGTCTGAGGTCGTCTTCTTTCTCGCGATCCTGCAACCCTAGAACGGACGGTCTCGACCTGGACCGGACGGTCTAGGCGAACCAGGGATTCCGAGTTTCGTATTTTCGCACCAAATTCAACATGCTATAGCTCAAAACAATCCTAGTAACATCAGGAACTCAAATCTAAGTTCAATTTCATGCAATTTGCACTCAATACACGCAAATCTCCATTTTCAATTTGATTATCATTTTCGGGCATAATCCGAAACACTCACCTGTGTCATTTCTGAGCTCTGGGGTTTGTTGCTGGGGTTTCCTAGTGTTGATTTCTGAATTTTCTCGTCGATTTCCATGCGAAATAAGCTCCAATTTGAGAGTTCTTGGTCTGAGTTCGCAAGAACACGAGGGAGAGGGTGAGAGCGAGCTGTAGGCTGAGTGTGAGCAGAGGGAGAGAGTGAAGCTCGTGTAGAAGAGATTGGCCGCCTCTGAGTCAAGCAGGAGGTGTCAAACGCCGGTGAAACCTCGGAGTGGCAGCGGTGACTCAGCAGGGAGAAAGACGGCGGAGTTTCTCGGTTCTGTCCGTCGTCGGAACGGACGGTCCGGTAAGGCGGAACGGACGTTCCGCTTGGTCTGGAACGGACGGTCTGCTTGTCAGACCGGACGTTCTGGACCGTTTTCGCCCGTTTTTCTCGCTCGTTTCGGTCCAATCCTTTGAATTGGCTTGGCTAGGTTTGATTCTATGTTCTTGAGCATTTCTCCGGCACCTAAAAGATCTTCTAGGGTTTGGTGCAGAGAAAAGAAACTCTCGGGGCATTATATTCCGTTGGAATAGTCGATCTTCTTCTCCTTGCCTCTTCTTCGTTCGGCTCGGTTGGTTCACGTTAAACCAATTCGCCCGAGCGGCTTCATGTCGTGGTCTATTCCTCGTTAATCCTTTTAACGAAAATTAAGGGCTTATCGCCTAATCATCTCATTTCCATTGATCAAGCGTCGTCAATTTCGGTTTATATCTCTCTAATCCTTTTACCGAAATTCGGGGTGTTACAGCGTTAATTGGCATTTCCCCGCCAACGACTGAAGCTAGGGCTGACATCACGTTATGGAAGCATGGTGTAGATGATTTCAGGGATGTATTCTCATTGGTCAAGAATTGGAGTTAATCCGAAACCCATCCTCTACGGTTGCTTGGCACTCTCTTGTTTGGTTTGCTTTTGTTGTCCCCCGTTATTCCATGGTTCAATGGCAGGCTCTACTGAAACGTATGCCTGCGAAGGATCGTTTCTCCCGTTGGGGCATGGAAATAGACACTCATTGTTCACTATGTGATATGACCGTCGATGAAACCCATGAACATCTGTTCTTTCTATACCCTTTTAGCATGGTTGTGTGGTCTTTATATGCAGAAAAATATTGGAGTGATCCTCCAATGTCTCTTGATGATTATATAAGTTGGTTTAACCAACCAAGGCAGAGTGAGAATAGACATCGTCTCTTGATTGCGAATGTGATATTGCAGGTGACTATTCACTTGATTTCGAAGGAGCGGAATGAAAGAATTTTTTGGGGAAATCGAAAGCCCATGTCTGTGTTGTGCCGACATCTTGACAGCATGGTTAGAAGCATTATCCTAGCTAAGCAGCGACAAAATCCGGGAAAGCTCACATCACTCTTGGAAGATTGGTTTTATATCACGTTATAAGAGTAGAGAGGTTTTGCTATATCATTATTTTGTTTACACATAGTTTCCTATGGCTAATCTCCAGTTGTTAATCACTGTGGCTGTAAAACACTTATCCTTTTGGTATATTTTTACATTCCACCAAAAAAAATTTAAAATTTGTCTAAAGAATATTTCTGTAATTTGTTACTGAAGAGGATAAATTGAAAATTGGAAATGTTTTTTCAAAGAGGATGGTGGCACTAGAAATACTTGCAGCACATTGAGGATAAAATACATTGAGGATAAATTGAAAGTTAACCGTTTGTGGTTAGATGCATGCGTGTACATATATAATCTGCCGCATGACACTTATTTCATACTACCATATATTTTGTTAGGAATTTATTAATTAATAACAAAATTAATCTCAAAACTAAAACTCAACTAACACCTCATCAGCAAGAACAGAAATCAAAGCTCGAGAAAACAAAAAATCAACCCGAGATCATCGAAAACAATTGAAGTGGTGCTCGAGTCGATCATTGAAAATTAGAAACAAAATACGTCCTGCCCGAATTTGGTATGGAACCAGCCATCAAAATTCAATAAAACCAAACCTTGAGATAAACAAAAAAATATTGTCTTGAACCCAGAAGAAAGAGAGAAGAGGATCAAAACTGGGAACGAGGTAAGATTAAATAGGAGAACCCATGCAAGACATTATCGTACTTTCACGGCTTCAACTTCGTAGACAAGCCATGCATTCTCGGGCACATCTTCTGCAGGTCTCTCTTTCGTATATCTGTTTCATTTTATAAATCAACTTAAAACTTAATAAAAGGTTATCGAGACGAATGCTGTACAAATACGTTACCCGAGAGATGGTGGGATGATAAGTCTTCTCTTATCACCAGCACGCATGCCTGAGACATTCAATTCAACCTCCCTTTACAAGAAGACATATTACAAATGGATGAATTGTTGGCTTAAATTAAAGCACATACCTTCAACACCAATGTTCAGACCTTCTATCACCTTGTCTCCACCTGCAAGGGAGACAACGTTTGAATCAATGAAGTCTCTCTAACAATGCTACTGGAGAGTGTCAGAGATATAAAAGAGAATCTTAACCTAGGCGAAATCTTAATGGACCCTTTCCATCGTTTGAATCGAATACTTCCCCGTTCTCCTTCAACTTCGCAGTGTAAATTATGCTGACCTGCAACGACTCTCACTCTTCTTCTAGCATTCACAATAAAACTGGATCATAAAGAAATAGACAAAGACACAAAATAAGCACACCTTTTTCCCCTTAACTGCTGATTTCCCATCCAAATTCCCTTTTCCAAGCTCTTCAATGATCAGTCCACTTGACAAACTCTCCACTCCGAGTGGTTTATTAGTACCGTCTCTGTACTCGTTGTCACTCACTTCTTTGCCAGATTTTGATTTGTCGGTGTTTTCCTCATCCTGAACTTCACGGCACCTCTTGCTTGTCTTCTTATTGACCCGCGGATGATCAATCGAATTGTCAGCTTCTGTCGCAATACTCCTGTTCATTGACAAAACTCTGTACTCAAATGGGGCTCATTCATACATTACCAATTCAGAAACTTTGCACTAAAAAACTGAGATCACTACAAATTGAAAACTAACAGGAAAACCACATCACTTCACAGTGAACAGACATCCTCTAAGGTGCAGTATCTACTACTCATCATATAATTATAAATTGTTTGTTTATGTGTCCATTACAATAGCATAATCTACTTATCTTCCACAGAAGAAACATTATTCCTTCAATAGCAAGCAAGGTACAACTTACTTGATCATAGATCCCTCATGTCCCTCCTTTTTTCTCTTTTTCTTCAATGCATCGATCCTACAGTTGAACAGAATGCATGTTATATTGGCTGAAAAGAAGAAGGAAATATTTTCCTTCCTGATAGCACAACACACTAACAGCTAATCCATAGTATAGAAGAAAATACTCCATATTACATATAAAGAACCAAAATCCTTCTAAAAAATGTGAATGTCATGTCATGGGCAATTAGGTATAATATTCCCTCCCATGCTTTCAGTTTAATGGTATCATCTACTTGAAAACTACACATAAGTTGATACATTCTCTCAAAGACAACACGTACTTGTCAAAAGTTGGCTCCTCGTTCTGAACACTTTCAGAAGGATTTTCTGTTTTCCTACTATCCCCTTCAGTACAAGATTTGGCATCAAAGGAAATGCTTTGCTTCTGTTTTCTCCTCTTTTTCTTTGAAGGACTTTTGCAATCGTCTGAAGGCTTATCCCTACTGTCATATAGAACACAATATAGATTGATTAAACTTTAAAGATTGGAAGGTTCTGCTTATTACTTGCTGCAACTGCCTTACCTTTGATCCGGAACCTCATGGGTATGATCAGCAAAATCAGTTACTGCCTTCTTACTTTTTGAGTCAGTCTGACCATTTTCCATGCCACTTGTCTTTGATCTTGTCTGCCTTAGAGACAGAGCACTCTTGGAAAAAGGTAAGTCCCCGATCTCATATTCACTTTCACTGACATATAATCCTACGGAACTGCTAGTGCTTGAGTCACGAATTCCAGAGAAAACTCCTAATTTCCAATTTTCTTCAGTATCAGAGTCAGATACTTGAAACTTCTTCCTAAGTCTTCTGAGTTTTCCATTATTCTTCTGATTTTTCGCTTTCTTCGGTCTCTCCTTGATAGTTACTGCAACATAAAGCAAGAATATTAAGAAATGAAGGTATATTATGGTATCAGAAGTTATTTAAATGAGGTTCAACAATCTGATATCACGTTAAAAGCGTGACCAGCACATAATAATATAGAAAATCATAAGCACCCTATATGGGTCAGGGCCTGGATAGCAATCTCACACAAAGACCACTACAGTTGACATACGTTCCTCACCAGAAGGGTCACCGTCATTTATAAAACTGTCACTATAATCGTAATCATTTTCATCAGCAGATCTTTCGTTCTCTGTATCTACAATATCTTCTCCATAAGTCTCTCTGTGAATCTAGTTAAGAATACAAGACAGCACCTAAGGGAGACAAAATATACAATTTTATCGAATCCCAAAGAAATAAAGGAACTGCGTTCCGGAACAAGCAACAAAATCGCCAAACAAGACTACAAGCACATAAAGATAAGACATTCTAATCAATCAGCATTTTCTCAGTCATGCATCGGAGTGCCAAATCTTTCTAAGATTGTGTTTTTTTTCCCGAAAATGACATAAATTCTTCCAAACCTGTAAAGTAAGAAAATAAGAGAACAGATGATAAATCTATGCATAACTGGATAACGACAGATCTCTGAGATAATAAAAGGATACGACCCATCATCATCCCCAGTGAAAGTAGATTTCCCATTGAGATAGTAGCCAGTTAGGTGTACGCTTCGAGGTCCAATGACAGAGAAAACAACTTCCACAGCTTCATCGAATTCCAGATTCAATTGGGAAGATTCAACATTGTCGGGAGATAAGGCACACAAAAAGACAGGTGTTTTGTCCCCAACATTACATTGAACTATGCTTTTTTCTCTTGCCTTACCCACCCCCAACGTTGCCTGAACCAAAGAACAAGATTAATCAGATAGTCAGAGTCCACTCAGACAATAAGTAAACATTTTAAGAGTAACTAAGCCATAAAACCAATTCAACAACTAAAAAAATGTAAAACAACAGTCAAATACATATTTTTTTCTTCCACTAACTTAACCCTAAAAACATACCATTCATTCGTATCTAAGGTTTCCAACAAAATTAAGAACAGACCCAAATCAACGAATATGTGTACCCATAAAGAAAAAGAATAAAGAACAAAAGAAAACGAACCCAGCCCAGTATTGACCTACTGGAAAAAAAAATTTAGGAGCAGAATCACACAAACACGAACAGAGGACTAGAAGAAAATTCTCAAAAAGTTGTTGGACCTGAGAAACGTGAAGCCTTGAATTGGAAGAACGAAGAGTGAAAGGCCTCCCAGATTTCACCTCAACACCTGCAACTCCAATTCCTTCAGTTGTAACAAATTTTTTTGGGCAAACATTTAGAGAGACACAGGAGAACTAGTTCGACGAAAACAAAAGTGAAATTACCCCAGAAAGCCATTGTTGCAGCGGTGGAAGGAGAGACCGAAAATCAAAATCGGCGTTACAGATGAAGGGAAACGATGAACAAAGCGAAGCAAACTCAAGTCGAGTAGAGAGTATAAAGAGCCGATTAGGGTTTTCCTGTGCTTTTGAAAGACGAGGAGACGAGACTCTGGCAATTCCCAGGCTATTAGGGTTTTTCTGTATTTTGCGATTCTCTAGAGAAAGAGCCGTTTGCTTTTCTGTACTGATTTCTTTTTATATTTACTCTTCTTAGACCAATACATTTACTATGACTCATAAATTCTAAGTATTTATTTTTCTCTCTTTTTTATTTCTTTATTTTGTTAACTAGTGAGACGCGACCTAGTTTTTTTTTAATATAAAATGTTTACCTTTCGGTTATGAAAAATAACAAAAACTGATATATATATATATATATAAATTAAATTATATCATTAAATCATTATATATATAGATGGGAAGAAATGAAAAAAGCGAAGAAATGAAAACATATAAATATCATTATATTATTATATTAGAAAATTGTTCCACAACCCTAAATATAATATTTTAAAACTTTCTAGTGAACATTTTTGTAGTTGATTTTACGGTATACTCTTGAAATTATGAATAGACCTTTCCCTTAACAAAATTGAACATACTTTCATACATCACATTCACTCCATTACCTCAATGAGGGACATAATATATATATATACACACGCATTATTTTAAGTTGGTCTAATGTTAAAAAAAGTTGTTTATAATTATTTTAGATATTCAACATGACTAAAGATAATTTTTTGTTCTTTATCTTTCTATTAACATATGGCTGATTTTATGGGATACTTCTCAATGCTGAAGTTAAAAATATATACATTTTCCTTAACAATATTGAACATGTGTTCGTATAACACATTCCATCCTATACGGAAGAATATATATATATATATATTCTCTTATTTATTTTCACTTATATTAACGAAGAGAAATAAATTTGCATTTAACACATTCCATAGAAAAATAAAAATGCTTTTATTCTCACTCCAATTTTATTGTCCTTTTTTCCTATGTTTTACATGTTTGGAAAAGCACTTCTCCTTTGTTAGAATATATATTTATGGTTAAATATTGGTTTAGTTTTAATTTGTTTTTTGGTTTAATTGGTTAGGGTTTGTATAAAGGGTTTGGTGTTTCTTTCTTTGTATTTAAATTACCTTGTTTTATTTCTTATATCTTTATATATAAAAGTACAATTCTCTTTTTGAGGGTTTGACAGGTGTTTTTATTGATTTTTAAAAAAATTAATTTTTTATTCAAAAAATCTATATATATTAATAAATGAGTTTAAAAGATTGTGGTGAAGCCACCTCATCCTCCACATCATCATTTATGTGGTAATTTTTTTTATTAATTGGTTAATTAATGTGGTAATTTTTTTGTGTATTCAAAAGTTGATCAAATGAGAAAGGATTGATAGGTGAATCATAATAAAAAAATATGTAAAATTCATTTGATACATTTGTATATTATTTTTTGTATCTGTTTTTTTAGTTTATTATACAATTTTTAGATTATTATAATAAAGATTTTTTTTCTATATATATTAATAAATGAGTTTAAAGGATTGTGGTGAAGCCACCTCATCCTCCACATCATCATTTATGTGGTAATTTTTTTTATTAATTGGTTAATTAATGTGGTAATTTTTTTTTGTATTCAAAAGTTGATCAAATGAGAAAGGATTGATAGGTGAATCATAATAAAAAACATGTAAAATTCATTTGATACATTTGTATATTATTTTTTGTATCTGTTTTTTTAGTTTATTATACAATTTTTAGATTATTATAATAAAGATTTTTTTTACACATTTGTATATTATTAGATTAACACTAATTTTTAGATATAAATCTAAATTAAAAAAATAGGTGATATACATAATAATGACAAATATCAATAGATTATTATTGTAAAAAAAGAAGAAAAAAATTTCTTTTTATTGTATATAAATATTTTATTTTGATCTTAGTTTTATATTTTTGAGATTTTTATTTAATTATATTAATATTTCAATTTTTTTGTTATTTTGATATAAAAAATATTAATAAATTATTATCATTAAAAAGTTTTAAAAATTTTGTCTTTAGAATATAACAAAAAAAACGTTCTCTTAACTCTTATCGTAAATGAAAATTCAATTTGCATTAAAACCCATTACTATAATTTACTACATTGCATGAATAGAAAATTCTAAATTAAAAAAAAAAACGGACAAGATTCTAAAAGCCCTATTCAATAACCCACTAAACCCACTACTAACCACATTTATTGATTGATCTTTTTCTAATTATTCTAGATATCTTTTTTTTAATAACTATTTGGGGTCTCTTATATAGTCTTTAGTAAGGATTGCTCAAAAAAGATTAAATGATCCGATTGGACACTTCTCATAAACGGAGGCGGTGAGGGAGGATGAGAGAGGAGATATTGGCGGGGAAGGAAGCGAAGGCCACCGGAGACGGTGGCGGAGGGGTGAAGTGTATGACGGGAAGAACGGTAAGTATCCACCTCATTATCTAGAAGAGACCCGCGCGATGCGCGGAATTATTCAACTATTTATTATAGAAAAGTATTGATATAAATTTATACAAAATTATTATATATTACGTAAAGTTAAACTATAGTATTGGTCATTATAATATAATAAATGAATAAATGAAATAATATAAATATTATTACAATGGAGAAAAAGATATTATTAGATATATATATTGTTGTTAATCTACTGTTAATTTGTAGTATATGTATTGTTGTTTTTTTAGATTTGTTTCACATTATGTATAGAATTCGCAACAAAGAAATGATCAACATCAATCATAAATCTTTTCATACTAATCCTTTTGCACGCCTTTTTCCATGCCGCTCCAAGTTGTTCCTTCTTGAACTCAGAAGAGCGTGTCACAAAACCAATATAACTGATCACGACATTTCACCAAAATCCCATTTTGGAAAACGATCGATACACTTAGTATCCATTTGGTTTATAATCCTTATTATTTATGAATAAAAAATTTCTAAATTTTATTTACTAAATAAAAACATAAAAACAAATAACTTTTCCATTCATGAGATTCTATTTTATTGGATTATATTCAAATTTTATTGTACTTTCTTTCTTTTATTCGGTTTGAATTTTTTAAAAACTATTGCCATTTAATTTTAAAAAAAATTGTATTAAATTGTTAAGTGTGAAATATCATCATCATCATCATTATTATTATGTGAATATATACATAAAAATATAAAAAAACCTGACATATTATATTGATTAAACATATAATTTACCATGAAAAATATAAAAAAATAGTATTCACTCTATATATATAAATAATTTTATAATATAATAATATAATGATATCTATATTCCTTCATCTTTTTTCTTCTCTATATAGATTAATATATACCTTTTGTTATCTACATATCAATCATCGACTCTTCCAAAATTATGTATTTGATATGAAAATAATATATTTCGAAAATACTATTTGAATTACAATTTATGACAATTTAATAAAATGTGATTAAATTTTGTATCCTTTTAGCTTTTATGCAACAAAATTTATAGGTTTTTTTTCAATTTTATCAAAAAATAATTTTTACTCTACGGTAGAAAAATTCAACAAATACATATACACATACACATATATATATATATATACATATACATATTTCTACATATATACACATGTATACATATATATTGACACACATTTATGTATATACATATATATATACATACATATTTTTATACATGCATATATACACATACACATGTATGTGAATATATAGAGGTATAAGTATACGGATGTAGATATGATTATACAGACATGACATATATTTTGTCATCTAACACTATCATGTAAAAAAAAATTATAGATACATACATATATGCAATATGCATCGGTTTGACTATGAGATCTCTAAATCCATACAAATATCAAAGTTTATCAATAAAGAATCTTACAAAAACACATCCATTAAAAAGTGAAACAATCACTTGCATAAATTAGACACCCTTCTTTGAGAGTGGTGATGAAGATGATATATATTATTTGTTTGCTTTAAGTAAAATATTGTATAAAATTGTATATTTATAAAGAATTCAAGAAGTAAAGAAATATGAGTATCTTACATGTATAAGGTCGATATTAAGATTTATTCTGAATGCGGATTATTACATTTTTTTATTTTTTTATTAAATTAAGTTCATCGAAATAACAAATAAATTTTAAATCTAAGTGTAATCAATTAAAAATTCCAATAACATATAAAAATGAGATCAAAATATATTTTTGTAATGCAAGAAAGATGGGAGTTTTAAATTTTTTTTCCATTAAATAATAATTTTCAAAAAACTTTTATATAAATACCAAAACTTTAAAATTCTAAAACATACATGAATTTTTAAAAAAATTTAACATAACACCGTTATTATCTAACAAATTTGATGATATATCATTGCCATAGAGGAAAATATGAAACCATCATTGTCCTATGGAAAAATCTTGTTTATAAAAAAATAGAAATATAATATATATATATATATATTCGTAAAATATAAAATACATAAATATATTCATATACACATAAATATATATATATACACATATATTTATACAAATATATATACACAGATATACATATATATACATATTTGTATGTATATATATATACACACATTGGCTTATGAAATTGATGACATTACTAAATTGGTTTACCTGAGGTCCTCTACAATCTTGTTTGTCCGTTTGCTTTAAAAATATATATATAAAATAAACATCTTTCATGGATTCTTATTGTTTTCTATAGCTTTGAACGTGCAATTGATTAAATGGTTAAAACTTTTTATTAAAATGATCTGATTGCAAATTTTGGATAGAAAAGACTTACACCGATGAGTTAAATTTGTTTATCATTGTGATGGAGATGAGAGTGATTGATATATGAGGCAGTGAATGTTGGAGTTTGAGTTCGAGTTGAAGAAATCTAACGCCATTGTTTTCCTGTAGTTTGAGGCAATGAATGTTGCTTTATTTATCATCGTCAACTTGCCTTATCCCCATCCACTACAAAAAATTAAACAGAAACTTAGAATCAAACATTCGAAAAATCCTATATGTAAAAATATGTTATATTAATAAAGATATTAAAAAATATAGTATCAAAAATCAAATGTAAAATTATTTGGAAAATATGTTATATTAATAAAAATAAAATTATAAATATATGTACACCTTTTCATTTGAAGACGGACGATCACTCTTTGTTAGAAGTGTTCGCTAGCCCTAGACCCCTAGCTCTCACAACTGTAAAAGAGGAAATATGTCAGATTGTCTCTTTTAACAAAATACATAATTGAATTGAAAAAAAAAAGAAAATTATCTAACTTTGGATATCTACTTCGGCTATTGGGTTTCGAGGAAGAAGTAGAAGAAGATGACATGCTTTTGGCAAAATTCGTTTAATAATTCATAAATTTAAGTGTTGGAGTATACAAACTAATATCGCAAATATTAGATACAACATGCCAAAATATGATTAATGGAAGAGAGAAAAAATAATACTATAAAATCTTAGTTAGGTCCGAAGAACGTTATATTGATGTCCGTTAGCATGGCCAATGCCTCTCTCATGTTCAAACGCGTGTTTGGCGATTCAACCACGCCTTCCAACCCGACCCTTATCGTAGTCGCCACACACCCTTCGCTTATACACTACAAAAAAACATGTCAGTAGTAACGAAACGCGTGTTCGAAGGATTGTGGGAAGAACGGTGAGTCATTAGGGTTCGACAGAGATGTGGTGGAGGAAAACGGGAGCTTCGGAACCGTGGCGGAAGCGATTGCGAAATGTTGGTGGAGAACACGACGAACGCCGCAGGCGAGTACTGGAGGAGATAATGAGAAGAAGTTCAAGAAGAAGAAGGAACTGAGCATTGTGTGACTTCGTCTTCGTCTTCTTCTCCCTGGTTCATATCCCACACTTCAGTCAGATGTTTGATTTAGATTTCTTTTTTTTTAATAAGCGTTTGATTTAGATTTCTTTTTTTGTCAAAAAACGATCTGATCCCTATTTTTCCAAGAAAATATGCTGAGAAAAGACGAGAAAACTTTTAAGAATGATGGATCCAGCTAAAATTGTGCTGGTCATTGTCGATCTTCACTCTCTCTGCTTTTTTTAAGATCGATTTTTTTTGGATTACGTAAGCGAATGATAGTGAGAGAGTGTGAGCACATAAATTAGTAAATAAGTAGTGGGCCCCACTTTTGATACCAATAATATATTGCCACATGTACATATGCGTAAAGACTAAGTTAGAGGATAGAATGACACTCCCTCCGTTTTAAAGTTTAGATGACATTTTAAAGTTTTTTTTTTGGTAAACGTTTTAGAGTATTTTTTTTGTTATAAAACAAATGACGTTTTTCTATTTTTAATATATTTTTTTAATGTTTTTTCCCAAATTTACCCTTTATTAATAACAGTCAAATATTCTACATGTATAATAATTCTACACAATTTTATATTTTTCATAATTATATCTTATATAACTAATGATATATCACAATACATTCAAATATCAATAAAATAATTATTTAAAATAATATAAAAAAAACCTTACCTGGATGTATAGATGCTCTTTTTATATTTATTTTTTAGTTTTGTTTTTTGGAATTTTTATATATTCATTTTTAAAAACTATTTTTTTGTAGTTTTATATTTCATTTAGATTTAAAAATAGAACACAATAGTTCTCAAATAAAATATTATTTATTTAAGATACATAAGTTCAAATATCATTTGAGACAAACAAAAATATTGTAAATATAGGTAAAATTAAAATTGATGTCGTAAAGGAATATAATTATAAAATTAAGGGGTGGAGTAAAATATAATTGCATTAAATTATATAATGCATTATTTGATTTCAAAAAAAATTAAAAATTTAAGGATTTTATGCTAACCAAATTTTGGATTTTCTAATTTATTAGAAATATAGAAAATTATCTTCGGAGTAAATAAAAAAAACTCTACTGTTGTATTTATGGTGGTCAAGATTAATTATTATACGAGTGTTCAAATTGGAAAATGTATGATAATCTTTTGTATTTTTTAAGAAAATTGTGTGTATATGTTTTAAATAATAATATTATATTTTTGACTTAAGTAGCAAAGTAAAGTTTTTGACTAAATGTTACTTGAGGTAATTGAATTAACTCAAAACCTTGAAAATGAAGATTAATAGAAACGAAATTTCGTTAATCATTAATATAAAATAGTAAAATTATAATATAAGAAAAATTGTAGAAATGCATCATCACTATAATAGCGTTTATGTCGTGGCAATAGTTACACATCAATGATATCATTAACTCAAAACCTTGAAAAAGAATAATAGTATAAGCAAAATTTTGTTAATCATTAATATAAAATAGTGAAATTGTAATTTAGGGAAAACTATAGAAATGCATCATCACTCTATAAATAAATAAGTAAAAAAAATATGAATATATTGCATAAATAATTTAAAAAGATCGATATCAATAATTTATTTTGAGTGTTTTTATTGTTAATCTATTTTATTCGGTATTTATAAATATTTAGTTATAAGATAATATTAAAATAATATTATTAAATATTATAGTTATCGTTTGTTTTAAAAATAGTTAATTTTATATATTTTTCATGTAATTTTTTAAATGAGATTGAATGTTTTATTTAATTGTAGATGATGGTTTGAAGAGTGATAGAACAATTTAATTATAAATGTTATAAACAAAATTTATTAAACTTAATATAATAATCATGTAGTTCATGTAGATGATGATTTGTAGCTCATGTTTAATTCTTAAGTTTGTTGGCATGTTTGGCCAATTCTTCTTATATTTTCCTCCTCCTCAAAACTTTATTTATGTACTACATATATTTTTCACATTGGTAAAAAATCGAATTACCTAAATAATTTTTCATATTATCATTTTTCAAATAATTATATTAATAAACGATATATATATATACACACTATCAGTAAATAATTCATGTCCAAAAAAGATATTGGTAAATAACTTTTCGATTGATTGCAATATACATATTATAATATATGTGTGTATATATATATATATTTATGATCAATGCTTATTGTCGTCAAGAAATGTTAGATGCATTTTTTTAATGTTTTGTTTGATATATGTGAAATATAGTCTAACAAAAATGTATAATATACATGTTGTAATATTTTATTTAATCATTTCTAAAATAAATCATATCTATAACATTTATTGTGAGGATAAGAACACAAACAAAGAGGGAACGATCAAGTCTAAAGGGGGGAGACTCGGAAGAAACAAAAGCCTAAACCCTAAATTTGGTCACCAACAGCTTCTCTGTATCATCAGATGCATAGATGAAGTGTAGGAAAACAATTATAAACCTGTAACCGGAGAAATGATAAGAATAGATCGAAGCCCTACAGTTCAATTCTTTTTTCGGAATTTTTTTCCCTGTTTCCAAAAATTTTAATGATACAGAGGTAGGAATTTGTAGAGTAATGTTCTATGTAGAGCCAATGTTTATCATTGATGCATGCTTGATGCAACTCAACTTAAGAAGGTGCATTGTCACCATTTTCATCGAAGGTAGGTTTCTCTTTGCATTTATATTTACATATAGAAATTGTAAACGATAATGATATCTGCACAACCGACCAATTTGACAAACGACTAGGGCGATCGCAGAGGCGATTCGCTCCAACCCTAAATCTCCCTCCGGCTGGTCACTGCTGGCCGGGGAAAAACACAAAAAAAAAACGCCCCGCTGGCCGGTCACAGCCGGCTAGCATAATCATCCCGCCATGGCCCCCCGCCTCAGGTCCTCGTCAGCGCCCCCATCCCCCTCAATCCTCGGACCTCACCCCAGTCTCCCTCCACCTTCGGACCTCATTCCCACGCCTACGCCCCCTGAGCCGACCATCGCATCGCCACCACCGCCTCCGCCTCTGAGCTCCACTGGTTGGCCTTCTCTACAGCTCGGTAACAGGTCTACTTCTTGTCCTCCCTCAAATTCTGTTCCTAGATCAGTTCTAGTGAAGTCAGGTTCCTCCACCGGGGTAGAATTTGCTGATGCAAAGGTTGATAGCAACCCCCAAATTTCCTCTCCTGCCGAGCCTCTGGCTGGAGTTATTGGCCCCGATTCAAGAAAGCCCGGTTCATTGGTACAACAGCAGACATCAACAACCTGGAGTAAGAAACTGTTTGCTCCTCCTCGGAGACTTAAACGAATGGGAACCCCAGGGGTTCATGTATCAGGAGCCCCGCTCATCACAATCCCGGAAGAAGCAATAAAGGAGTCAACCGAAGAATGGTCTGAATTCCTGATTGGACAGTTCTACGGTCTACCGCCAACCATGGGACGAATTATTGGGATAGTGAACGCGTTGTGGACCCGGGGAGGCCCCCGTATCCGAGTCCAGAATGTTGGCAACGGCACGTATTTGTTCAAGGTGACTAATGCAGCAGCTAGGGCTTACATCCTTGCTCGACAGTTCTGGTATGTCGGGCAATGCCCAATGTATGTTACTGCTTGGAATCCTTATCACAATCCGGAAAGACCCCCGATGAGATCCGTCAACACTTGGGTGTCCTTCCGCAATGTCCCTCAGACATTATACAATACAGACTGTCTAAGCAGGATTGCTACGAGTATCGGGGAGCCTCTATACATGGACAGACAAACGGAGGCTAAAGAGAATGTATCGCTTGCCCGTATCTACGTTGAAGTCAGCCTACAAAACCCCCTGCCGAGACGAATAGTGGTCAACCTTCCATGCGGAACTGAGAAATCCATAGATGCATCTTATGATTGGCTTCCCCCGCAATGCAAATCCTGCTCAGAAGTGGGCCACAACGCATCCCATTGCCCGAAAATACCAGGTGTCACTCGACCAAGGAGAGTAGAACCGAGCAAGAATGCAGTCCCTCTGGAAGATCAGACCCCGACTGACCTGAAACAGCACCAAGACTTAACTCATATTACAGATCCGAAAGAGCTCATAACCAACTGTGCAAAAGGACAGGGAATGCAACCTCCTACTAGTCCTTCTGCCCAGCAAGAGGTAATGGATAGTAATCTGCAGAGCTGCCAGGATCCAGCAATTGAGCTACCTTTAGCGCAGCCCCAAAGCCCAATAAATGCTCAGATTTCAAGCCCAACCAAGCCTATAGATGATAGGCCGATGGTAAAGAGCAAGGACAATGAACAACGCGCTCTGAGGAAACCTACCTCTCTGGGCAAAACAAAAGGCGAGACAAGCTCAAATCAGGTACAGACCAAAGGTCGTGGCCGGCGGGCCATGAGAGGAAACTAAATATAGACGGACTCCCCATGATTTTTGTCTGGAATACAAGAGGCCTAAATGGCAAGCATAAAAAAAGTTTTGTTCGCAAGTGGATTTTGGAACATAAATTACTCGTAGGAGGACTTTTGGAATCTCACATTCAAGCGCATAATGCCAGCAGAATTACAGACGCTCTCCCTGAGGGTTGGAAACACTTTTGTAATCACAATGAAGATCTAGCTGGCCGTATATGGATAGTCTGGAATCCAGAAATCACTGTTACCGTATACAAATCATCAGCCCAAGCCATTACATGTGGGGTAACATCTCAGACAAGGAATCTGTCCTTTGTTGCAACTCTCGTGTATGCCAGCAATCTGAGCACTATGAGAAGAGATCTTTGGGGGAACTCAAAGAAATATCAGATTATCAACCTGTTACTGCCACCCCTTGGGTCATTATGGGAGACTTCAACCAGCCTCTCTCCCCCTTTGACCGTTCAGATCATGATGCTGCAGGAATGTTATCGCAGGGTATGTGTGAACTCCAAACATGTATATCTGCTGCAGGAGTGGCTGACCTCCCATTTAGGGGTAACCGTTATACTTGGTGTAACAATCAAGCGAGTAATCCATTATCGGAAAAATTGGATAGAGCAATGGGCAACAACAAATGGTTCGACAGATACCACAATGCTTATGCTGAGTTCATTTCCCCAGGACCATCAGACCACTCCCCCTGCGTTATTCACTTCCCTAATAGCATCCCTGAGGTACGCCGCCCCTTCAAGTTCTTCAATCACCTTTTACTGCTAAAGGATTTTCCACAGGTTATAGCAGAATATTGGAACCTGGAGGCGTGGGAAGGGACAGCTCAATTCAAATTTTGTAAAAGCCTCAAAGTACTCAAACAGCCTCTACGACAACTCAACTCTACACAGCTCAGCAATCTGTCCCAACGGGTACAAGAGGCTCTAACCAATCTAAATCGGGTGCAAGACCAACTACTTAATCTGCCAACGCCGGAATTAGCCTGTGAGGAACATTTGTTACGGGAGAAATGGATGGTTTTGATGGGTGCCGAAGAAACATTTTTCAAGCAGAAATCTAGAGTTAAATGGCTGCAGTTGGGGGATAGAAACACCTCATTCTTTCACAAGCAGGTGAAAGCGAGAACGGCGCGAAACCAAATCCACTTCTTGATGACCGAGCAAGGAAGGAAGTTGGAGTCAGCAAAGGAGATGCAAGAACATGCTGTGACATACTTCCAAGGATTGATTGGGCGTCATGACCAAGATTGTAGGCCTCCTTCAGTCCAATGGATCAGTGAACTCATGCCGTTTAGTTGCTCGGACAGTCTCGCAAGCACCCTAACCAGAACACCTACACATGAGGAGATTGTAAGTACACTTAAGTCCATGCCTAACAGCAAGGCGCCGGGTCCAGACGGATTCCCCAAGGAATTTTACATCGCAGCTTGGGACCGAGTTGGGAACTCTCTTGTCATGGCCATCCAGGAATTCTTCATCACAGGGAGAATGCTAAGCCAGATCAACGCCACTATCCTTACTCTTGTGCCGAAGAAGCAAGGAGCAGCTGCGATGGCCGATTTCAGGCCTATAAGTTGTTGTAACGTGATCTACAAAATCATATCATCCATACTTGCACAAAGGCTAAAGGGAGTTATGCAGGCTGTTGTATCTAAGAACCAGGTGGCCTTTATATCAGGGAGATTGATGCTGGAAAATGTAATGTTGGCATCAGAACTTGTGCGAGATTACAACCGGAAAGGCTGTAGAAGCAGTGCCATGATTAAGCTGGACATTCGGAAGGCATTTGACACACTTAATTGGGAGTTCATTTTACGTATTCTCAAAGCACTTGGCCTGCCAGCGATCTTTGTCAAATGGGTCAGAACTTGCATCACTTCGACGAAATTCTCCATCTCAATGAACGGGGAATTAGTCGGATATTTCAAAGGGAGACGAGGATTGAGGCAAGGGGATCCGATGTCACCTTACTTATTCATATTGGCCATGGAGGTGCTCTCACGAATGCTTGATAGAGGAGCTGAGCAGCGAATTATCAAGCTACACCCGAGATGCAAACGACCGCTCATCACTCATCTATCCTTTGCGGATGATGTGATGATATTCTCACGTGCAGAAAGGGGCTCACTTGATGAGATCACAAAGACTCTACAGCAGTTTGGGAAGCTATCAGGTTTGCACATGAACCCAAATAAGACTGACATTTACCTTGCTGGCATCTCTGATCAGGAAAAGTATGCATTGGCTTGCTCAATGGGACTGCGATTAGGGACACTACCGGTGCGATACCTTGGGGTTCCACTGAACTCTACAAGACTCACCAAGCATGATTATAAAGTGTTGATCGACAAAATCCAGAATAAATTGGAGAATTGGTGCAATAACTGCTTGTCATATGCGGGTAAGATTCAACTTATCTCTTTGGTGATATATGGAATAGTCAATTCTTGGAGCATGATATTCATGATTCCTAAGTCTATTCTATCAAGCATCGATAGTTTGTGTTCGAAGTTCTTATGGAAGAACTCGCTATCGTGTCGAGTGACCCCGAGAATTGCGTGGGAAACGGTCTGCTTACCGAGAAAGGAAGGCGGAATAGGGCTGAGGAAATTATCTGACTACAATAAGGTGTTCAGGTTGCGGCTTATATGGCTATTATTTACCAAATCCGGCTCGTTATGGGTGGCATGGACTCGAGCAAATGTTTTTAAACAGCGGGGATTCTGGGATACAAAGCCAACAACATCATCGTCGTGGAATCTACGGAAACTTCTGGCACTTAAGGAAGTAGCGTGCACCTTTACAAAGGTACAAGTTAGAGATGGGAAACCTGCACAGTTCTGGTTGGACGACTGGACAACACACGGCCCACTAATTGACTACATCGGTGAGCTCGGTCCAAGGCTCTTACGGTTACCCAGACACGCCAAGGTAGCTGAAGCTGTCCGTAGCGGGAATTGGTCTCTTCCTCCTGCCAGAACTGAAAGCACGCAGAGCTTTCTGTTCTCGCTGACGGAAATCGACCCACCGCAGCCAGATTCCGGCGAAGACAAGACTTTATGGAGACAGGGGAACGACATTTATAAAGAGCACTTCTCAGCCGCTACGACGTGGAAGTTGATTCGCGAACCAAAACCTGAGGTGCCTTGGCGTCATGTGGTTTGGTTCCGTGAAGCTATTCCAAGGTATTCTTTCCTTCTTTGGCAGGTTATGATGCAACGGTTGCCGACGAGGGATCGATTGAGAAGGTGGCAGATCCAAACAGATGCGCAATGCGTGCTCTGCGGCCTCGAAGAAGAGACGCACCAACACCTATTTTTCGAATGTCGATACAGCCGTGACGTGTGGGAGCATTTTGGAGGCTGTTGCTGGAACTCCCCTCCCTCCTCAATGGGAGACACAGTCAGCTGGATCACTGAAACAAGGCAGGACGATGGCAAGAGTAGACCGGTCATGGCAAGACTGGTCCTGCAGCTCTCCGTCTATGAGCTTTGGGCAGAACGCAACGGCAGAATCTTCCGGAACGAATCGAAACCGGTGACGGTGCTACGCAACAAGCTAGACAGCACAATGAGATCAATTCTACTTGCTGCAAAGGTGAGGAAAAATCCACAGAGCAGTGTACTCCTAGAGCACTGGTATTTCTTGACGTCAGGCATTAGAGGGCGCTAACGTAATATATTAAAGAGGTAAAAAGAATAGAGTATGTAGTTTACCACTTGCACATGGGGATGTCCATTTTAGTTTGCTCGGGTACAGTCTATATGACTGGTTTTGTACATTCTGAGAACCTCAAAGTATGAATACCAAATCACATTTTATCAAAAAAATTTGACAAACGATCACATCTTTGATGCATGCTTGATGAATACGTGGCATGTCTAGATTGTTGATACGTCATTGTCTTGCAACAACCAGATCACTTAGTTAGATAGATATATGTTCTTGGACAGGTGGCTCGGACATTATATTATCGGATGGCTCGGATGTGTTCTCTTTGAATATATGTACATGTATATATATATATATATATATATATATTAATTTTATGTGCTATGTATAGATGTATGTAGATATGTATTTATGTATATGTTGAATTATGTATATGTATATATATCTACATATGTATAAACTTATGTATACACATATATATTATATATGCGATGGCCACATATTATTATTGTTTTTGTTTTTGCAAATGAAGCAACTCAGAGCTACGAACAAGCTCAAGAAACTTGGGTTGAAAGTGACTAACGATCAATCCTACATACATAATGTATTTCATAAGCATTGTATAGTTTTTGAAAAATTACATATTAGTTATTCTTTATAAACATATTTTGACACAATATTACATACACACACATATATATAATATTAGTTCTATTAACAGTAGAAATTATGATTTGGATACTAAAATTAAAATGTATTAAGAATATTGTATAATATTTGTTTAGACCATCCACAGATCAATGATGATATTGGATATAAGATAGTTAACATACGTTGAATTTCCAATAACGTACGTATGAAATAGTATTGGTACATGTTAGGCTAAGACAAAACAAGGAAACCCTATCGGGTTAACAAAAATAATAAAATTTATTTTAAAAAATGACGAAAACTTATTATAAAGGAAAATTTTTTAAAATGATGAAATAAGTTAAAAAAATATAATTATAATGAAATTATGATAAAATTAAATAATAAAATTTTAAAATGGAGTTAGAGAAAATAAAGTGATTAGAAGAATCTGATAAATATATTCATTTATTCATAAAATTTATTGTTATTTTTATATCTAATTTATTTTGTTAAACTCATTTCTGAACAATATACGGTTACTGAAGACGAGATATATCACACCATTGACATCTACATCAGGATAATATACAATATAATCCACTTCCAAAGAAGATTTGAAGACTTTATTTTCGGTGGAAACATCGCATAACGCCAGGGGTCAGACCAAACCTCCCAA